TGGCCAGGTGAGTTAGATGGGGGAGGGGGTGGAGCCGGGCTTCTGCTGATCCGGATCAATGCTCCCATGTTGACAAGACCAGACCCGGGGTTCTCTGCAAGACGCCTCACCTTTATAGCCACCTCCCTCTCATGCAAATCTGAACCAGATTCAAAATCTGTGTCTGTGTCCATTGGTCCTTCGTGCTGCTTCCTTCTGGGTGTTGTCCCAATGCTGCAAAGAGGGTGTTTCCAAAAGAAGGTGCCTGCTTCTAACCCCCGAGGCCGTCAGTATGTCTGCTCTTCTTTAGTGAGCCCACTTGACACGTTTTATTGTCCTTGGGTCTGGCTCCCAGCCCCTCTCCAACTGTTGCAGCTGTTTGGAGGTGCTGCCTTCCATGCCTTGCTCATTCACACCTCGTTCATTCAACAGGGCAATTGATTAAGGGAGTTGGGGGGGCGGGGGATATCTTATTCTACTCCTAGCAAAAAGACAGCACAATGTAAAGTCATATGAAAATTATCAGAGATTTATCTACACAGTTATGTAACAAAAATCTACATTTGTAAGTTGCAGTTTCATGATAGAGATTGCACTACTGTACTTATGAGGTGAATTGAAAAATACTATTTCTTTTGTTTATCTTTTTTACAGTGCAAATATTTTCATGAAATCATATAGAGTGCAATGTCACAATAACTACATGACTCGGGGTGTGGATTTTTCACATCCCTGAGCAATGTAGTTAGACCGATATAGGTCTATAGTGTAGACCAGACCTTTAGTTACTGACATCTAGCTTAATGTTCTACCTGACTTCAAATATGAAGCATATATAGAGCATGCTCTCAACCTCTTCATATTTCTATGTAACAATAGTATACTTGTGGAGTTCAGACATTATTATTGAAGTCTTTTTCAGAATATCATCCTGATTTTTACCTACACAGAAAAGGTGCCTGCTACTAGCTAGTTGGCTGACAAAAATGTGCCTAAAGTTTAATGAATAGTTCAGCCAGTCTTAGAGTATAATTTATTATATTGATACTATTTACAGTGAACTATTGATCTGCATGGCACATCATAGAACACAAACTGATTTCCTGCCCAGAAGAACTTGCATCCAGTTACAGGGACACCATCAACTTAAATAGAGCTTCTCTGAAATGTTTTAACCTCCTCTTAAAAATAAGCACATAAGATTACTGTAACTGAAACATTAGCCAAATATCTTTTTTAGTTTGTGCATTTGACAGTATTTTGTATCTATGTAGCTATTTTCCCTTTTCTTTTGTGTGGGTTCAGGGTTCTGGAACGGGAGGGAAAACATTTTTAAAATAGGAAAATTTGATAGTAAAATCATCAGTTGACAGTGAGACTCTGACACAAGTATAGTACCTGATAAAAGTTGCAGTTAACTTTTTTAAGTTGCTTAGGCTTTAAATTGACTGTTCCTAGGAGGAAATAACCACAGGGACCAGGGCAGCCATATAAGTACACGTACTAGTGATTGCAATTTTTAATACTTGATTTTATTTATTTTCAGAAAGAATGCACATCATACTAGTGTTCACTGTTTTTCATCTTTCACTAATAATGCCTAGTATTATTGCATTCAGTACACTGGGAGAGTAAACTAGGAAACTGATGGTAAATTAAAATAATAATCGCCTAGAAAAGTTTCATAGTGCTTGTAATGTTTTATAATTATGACACAGAATTTATACATTTAAAGTAGGAAAGTCAAACCTGTGAATGTAATGAGTGGTATAGACAATGGTATGATATCCAGTTGAAAATTTATTTAGATTATTTACAATCTTCTTGGTAAACATAAAGTACTTTGATTCTTTGTAACTATACCTGTATTCTCTCCTATCTTTATTTCAAGGATAAGTAACTGAAGTATCAAGTTGACTTTGATACCTATTGGAAGCATGAGAAGATCAAAATGTTTGAAAGATTAAATAGATATTGATAGAGCTTCTCGTACATGTTTATATCTGGGCTGGAGAAGTGAGAGGGGAATCTCATAACTATAGCAGCTGATTTAAACTTATCAAAAGGCACTTTAATGTCCTTTCCTAAGAACACCCTGAGGTGATGCATTAATTTGTTTGTAAACTACTTGGAACCATGACCTCCCATTCTTAGCTTGTACAGCACCGTGCTCACTCTTTGCCTTTGTCTACAAAGGCACTTTAACCATTAAAACGTTTTTGAGTCTCGGGGGTGTGAAAAAGCATCTCCCTGAACGACGAAAAGCACCAGTGTGGACAGCGCTTCATTGGCGGGAGCCGCTCTCCCATTGAGGAAGCTACTGCCCCTCATTGGAGGTGGTTTTATTTTGTCTCTCCTGGTGATGAAGAGCATCTACACAGCACACCTCACAATGGTGCGGCTGCAGCTGCACAGCCATGCCATTGTAAGGTGCGCAGTGTAGACATAGCCTTAGGTTATAACTCCATTGTTATCCCTAACTCCCCTCCACACACACACAATTTCTAGCTCAAGTAAGTAGTGCTTTAACCTTCTGCTAGCTGCTCTGTGTGGTGAGGTGAGGGGTGTGTGTGTGTGAGTGATAGGTGGCTTGAAGCTCAGGTAATGCAGTGGGGATGCAGAAGATCAAGTCAAGATACCACTCATCATCAACTAATCTAATCCTCTGTGCTGCTAATGAAATCACTCTGTAACCCCAGTGTTGTTTTTGAGTTGTGGTTGCTCTCACTCCAGGTAGCTAGCTCGTTGTTGCAGTCAAGACAAGCCCTTCAAGGCCATATAAAATGCCTAGAGTCTGTCTAGTACAATTTTGGCCTTTTTCTGGTATAACTTAAGTTGATTGGGAACGGGTTTAAGCTAAAAATAAGGAAAAGCCATTTTTAAACTCAAGTAAGAGCATCATCTACACAAGTAGGCACTGATTTAGTTAAATCAATTAAAATTCATTTTAGGTTATACAGGTGAAACTTTCCCATGTAGACACGGTCTAAGACAGGGGTCAGCAACCTTTGGCACATGGCCCACTAAGGTAAGCACTCTGGTGGGCCGGGCCGGTTTGTTTACCTGTCGTGTCCGCAGGTTTGGCCCATCGTGGCTCCCATTGGCCATGGTTTGCCGCTCCAGGCCAATGGGGGCAGCAGGAAGCGGTGGCCAGCACACCCCTCGGCCCGCGCTGCTTCCCGCAACCCCCATTGGCCTGGGACTGCGAACCGCGGCCAGTGGGAGCCGCGATCGGCCGAACCTGCGGACGTGGCAGGTAAACAAACTGGCCCGGCCCACCAGGGTGCCAAAGGTTGCCGATCCCTGGTCTAGTAGAACAGATGTGTCATTAGGTGAGATTGAAGCACACGGTAACTAGAATAAGCGCTGGATGCAGTGTCCTGGGAATTTGGGGTGAGGGATGCGGGATGATAGCTAGATTTGCTGCTTTATCAGACTTTCTCATATTTATGGCTGATTATTTTAGGTTTCAGTGTTATAAACTGGGTGAATATTGCTCAATCTTCCATTTTTAATGATGTGCTTATAGTAATCATGTGTAGCTAATTATAGTTTGGAAAAGATGTTGGACATTTCTTCTCAGTAAGAATTTAGAGATTCCACATCTAGGTGTTTCAGATAAGATACTTAATAAGTTTCCTTAACTGGCCACCTCTTTATCTTTAATATTTGTAACCATCTAAATGTGCCCTTCTGTGGTAACAGTACTCTTGCCTGGTGCTTCACAAACCCAATCTCATTCTAAAAAGCATTCAGATGTCACCAGATCTATGCTCATTGTGTTTATGGAGGGGGGTTTGTTTTTCTGTGGGCAGGTTGGATCGAGAGCTCTGAGTCAGCAATCGTGGTGTCACTGATTGGGGCTGGGATAGAAAAATGATTAGGGAAACTAGTAAACAAAAATAATACAAGCAAAATGTTAAAAGTTGCAAAACCTGATAGTTATTTGTTCACATCTACTACTGTTTGTATGCATTGTCTGTTTAGATTGCAATCTCTCCAAGGCAGGACCACTTTATATGCTCTGGTTGCACAGTGCTTAGCACATAGGGACGCTGATCCTGATTAAGGCCTTTATGTGCTATCACAATACAAATAACTTTGATGGTGGAAAGAGAGACAGATTAAGTGACTTCACCAAGAACATCCTGCTCCAGTGGAAAATCTGATATCTGAACTTGAGTTACTGACTCCAAATTCTGTTCATTGACTATTAAGACAACTCTCACCTCTATTCAAAAAGTCTTCCTATGAATTTGTCTTGTACAGACTTCTGCATTATAGAAGTGTTTAGTGTAAAAATAGGGTCTAGAGCAGTGTCACTGCCTATTGTTACCATATTGGGTTGAAGAGGCTGAAACTTCTATACTTAGAGAGGTCTGCAAGTGAAAAACAAAGCTAAAAATCTACATGTATTCATTAATAGGTCTTTCTAAATTGCAGCTGGTGTTTCTGTTCACAATTGCTTTGTTCATGATATAGCACGGGGTGGCCAAACTTACTGGCCCTCCAAGTCGCATCTAACAATCTTCAGAAATTTGAGAACTGGGGCACGCTTGACGGGGGCCAGGGCTCGGGGCTTCAGCCCCACAGGAGGCATCTGATGGGGCTCGGGATTTCTGCCCTGCTCCTGCTGAAGCTCTGAACCCCCCCACCCCCGGCTGGGCAGAAGCCCCTACCCCATCACCTTGCTTCAAGGCAGAGATCCTGAGCCTCTCCCTCCAGTCTGGTAGGTGGAGAATGAGGAGGGGCAGAGGGGGGCTCTGCAAACTGCACTTTAATGGTAATATGGCTCACGAGCCACATTTCGGCCACCCCTGATATAGCACATTTAACAATGGTGCTTATGGCAACCAAGCGGAGTCCTGCAAAATGTCTTATAATAATAAATATCTAGTAGTGGGAATCTCTCTCAGACAAGCCAGTTCTGGAGAATAGACTTAACTTATGTACAGTGCTTGGAAATGGGGTCTAGACAATGGAAATTAATCCCCCCCCCTCTTTTTTTTTTTAATTGGCAGATTTTCTTTGCCTGCACTGTAACAGTGAGAGAGAAACAGCTTCAAGAGGATGAGTGAACTGGAACAGTTACGGCAAGAAGCGGAGCAACTGCGGAATCAAATCAGAGTAAGAATTACTATTTCCCCAGCCCTTAGTTATCTTGGAGGAAAAACTTGGTGGAAAAAATGAACAAGTACATATGTCACTGATGTTTAAATCATGCAACACTTAAAATCTTTTCACATTTGATTAAGTCAATAAAAGGTTCAAAAAGCTTGAAACTCCACCCCTAATTTTCATACAGTTATGTCTAGTATTGCAATTTAGTACGATATGGAGTATCACCCAATATTTTGGAGTCCTGTGGTAAGGAGTTATATAGCTTCCAAAACCCAGGAACAACGAGAACTAGTTAAGGATACTGATCATGAAAATTTAACTTTTTTGGACTACTACTGGCTTTTCCACTACTATTGTTCCTGATCGTTAGGTAAAATGCTTGAGCACTGACTGAGAGAAAATATCCAGGGTCAGGAATCATGCCTGTGCTCCTTTTCCTTCTCTTCCCATTGAAATTATTTTTCAAATGCGCATCATCCCTTTCAAGAAGCTATTGCAGAATACATCAAAAATTCAGTGACAGTTTTCAGTGAAAAATATGTAGGATACCAGTTTTATCTGTGTTTTCTTTCTAAGCATGCAGCATCTACAGACTAGATCAGCGGCTCTCAAACTGTGGGTTGGGACCCCATTTTAATGTGGTCACCAGGGCTGGTGTTATACTTGTTGGTGCCCGGGACGGAAGCCCGAGCCCCACCGCCTTGGGCTGAAGGCAAAGCCTGAGGGCTTCAGCCCTGGGCGGCGGGCTCAGGTTATAGGCCCCCCCTGCCCAGGGCTGAAGCCCTTTGGTGTTGCTTCTCACACCCCCAATACCTGGGCAGGGGGGGTTGAGTGGGCTCAGGCTTCGCCCCCCCCCCCCTCCTGGGGTCGTGTAGTAACTTTTGTTGTCAGAAGGGGGTCACGGTGAAATGAAGTTTGAGAGCCTCTGGACTAGATCTATGTAGGAATGCTTTACCTGGAGATACACAAAGGAAGTTTTAGTCCTAGTCAATTTCGTTATGTGGTGATTCTACATGTAATTACCGTATATACTCGATCATAAGCCGGTTCATTTATAAGGCCTCCCCTCCGCCCCCCCCCCCCCCCGATGGATAAATAAAAATGGAAAATGTTAATAACCCGTTCCTAAGCCAACCCTATAATTCAGGGGTCAGCTGCTTACCTTGATGGGCCGGGACAGCAACTGGTGGGGAAATTTTTTGGAGGGGAGAAGCTGGGAGTCAGAGGAGTAACCCCTGTGACCACCCCCCACATGACCCCACCCCTAGCCTGGGACACCCACACTCTCTCCCCATCCCATCCCTTTCAACCTTATCTAGGGAGGGCCAGGGGAGAATGTCTCTGACCTGGCTGGAGCTGCTCCGGCAGGCTGGGTGGTGCGGCCGCAGCCTGCTCCGGTGGGCCACACCGGGCGGTGCGGCCGCAGCATGTTCCAGTGGGCCGGGCTGGGTGGCACAGCCGCAACGTGCTCCGGCGGCGTGGCCACAGCCTGCTCTGGGGAGCGGGGCCGAGCGGCACGGCTGCAGCCTGCCAGCCCCGGAGCTGCAGCTGCTTCGGAGCAGTGTGGCCAGAAGCGAAGAGACACTGGCCCTGCCTCTTCCCTTCTGGCTGTGCTGCCTCTCCTTGCTCCCTCTGTTGGGGAGAGGGGTTGTGTCCCACCTCTCCCTCTCTGTACCCGTTCATAAGCCAACCCCCTTCTCTGGTGCTTCCCTTTTTTTACTAAAAAAATGTGGTTTATGAATGAGTATATATGGTACTTTCAGCCTGACATCAGTTGTCTTGTGATAATCTGCTGCCTACTCAGTGTTTTGGGCATTGAACTACTGATGAAGATATTGTCCATGTGCTGTGCATTTGCCATGCATTAATTGTTTTTTGGGGGGGAAAGGCTTGTTGTAGCACATTTAGGGCTCTTTTGAGACTGATTGTTCAAGGTTATCTGGGGGAGAGTTCTGTCTCACATGTCCTTTAACTTTCCCAGTATGTATTCAAAAGTAAGGTCAAGGCCAGTTAATGTCAGGAGAGTTACAGCACTAAGGACTCTCTCCCTAGCTGACCTCAGCAATTTGGTTAAATTTAGCCATTATTTTAATTTATCTTACATTAGCACTACAGTGTACTAAGTGCTGCACAAATGTTGATGTAAATATGTTTCAATTTCTTCCCCAAATGACATGCCTTGGAAGTATGTGCCACATTGCAATTGGGCCTGATGTAGTCAGTCTCATCTTCTAGGAAATGGCATTGGGTGAGGAGTGAGACTGGTGTGGTGCAGAATACCTACTGAGCAGCTACTTGGCCAGTGGAACAGGTAGACCTCCCAGGAATGTCCTCGCAAGAATGTCCTGTGGAGCTAGGAAGCCAGCAGGATTTTTTTATATAGAGACTTAACTCTACTGAATTGGGTAAAATGGATTTAGTAAGACCTATGTCTCTGTTGGGCCCCACATCTGCAATTGGAGCCTGGCAGATGTACTTCTGCATCCATGACAAGCACCACTGAAGTCAGTAGGGCTCTATATTGGCATTGGTGTTCGCTTGCATGGCTCAAATTGCAGGATTGGGGAGCCTTATAAAATTAGTCACAATATATTAAAGAAGAAAAAAAAACCTAACTTAGTATTACTATACACTGTTGTTGTTCGTCCTTTGAGTTCGAAGATGAGCATGATCTCACTGATTGGTTTGGTTTCTGTGAACACGTGAGTGGCTGGTTAGGCCAGTTTGAGCGTTGAACTGTCTGTGGCACACTGAACACAAAATGCTGCTATGCGTTACTCGATTAACAGCAGACATGCTGCTGTTGCCATATTTATGCTGCTGGCGCTTCTCCTCTGCCTCAGCAGTTCTACTCTGCTCATAGACTGTAGCTCTAGTATGGAATGAGGCTTCACCGGGTAGAACGATCATGAGCGAGATCTTCCCAAAACTCTGGGTCAATGTTGAAATGCCACAAAGATAACTTGAGATAGTCCTTGAAACATTTCTTCTGGCCTAGTTAGTAGCTTGCAATATGTCCAGTTCAGGTCACATTGCACAATCTGGTCAGTTTTTAAGAAAATAATTAGACAGACTAATATTTCAGTTAGGTGAGGGGTCAATCTTGCTTACTTGTTAAATCAATTAAAATTTTTCTTTCTCATAGACTCATAGACTTTAAGGTCAGAAGGGACCGTTATGATCATCTAATCTGACCTCCCGCCTGATGCAGGCCACAAAAGCTGACCCACCCACTCCTGGAATAATTCTCTCCCTTGACTCAGCTGTTGAAGTCCCCAAATCATGATTTAAAGACTTCAAGTCGCAGAGAATCCTCCAGCAAGCGACCCCTACCCCATGCTGCGGAGGAAGGCGAAAAACCTCCAGGGCCTCTGCCCATCTGCCCTGGAGGAAAATTCCTTCCCGACCCCAAATATGGCGATCAGCAGAACCCCGAGCATGCGGGCAAGATTCTCCAGCCAGACCCACATTGACCATTGATACTAATTACCAGCGATGGCATGTTATTGACTTATTGACTAAAATCATGTTATCCCATCAAACCATCCCCTCCATAAACTTATCAAGCTTAATCTTAAAGCCAGAGAGGTCTTTCGCCCCCACCGTTTCCCTCGGAAGGCTGTTCCAGAACTTCACCCCTCTGACGGTTAGAAACCGTCGTCTAATTTCAAGCCTAAACTTCCCGACGGCCAGTTTATATCCATTTGTTCTCGTGTCCACATTAGTACTAAGCTGAAATAATTCCTCTCCCTCCCTGGTATTTATCCCTCTGATATATTTAAAGAGAGCAATCATATCCCCCCTCTGCCTCCTTTTGGTTAGGGTAAACAAACCGAGCTCCTCGAGTCTCCTTTCATACGACAGGTTTTCCATTCCTCGGATCATCCTAGTGGCCCTTCTCTGTACCCGTTCCAGTTTGAGTTCATCCTTTTTAAACATGGGAGACCAGAACTGCACACAGTACCTCCTTATCCCTACTAGAAATACCTCGCCTAATGCATCTCAAGACCGCATTAGCTTTTTTCACGGCCACGTCACATTGCCGACTCAGTCATCCTGCGATCAACCAGGACTCCGAGGTCCTTCTCCTCCTCCGTTACTTCCAACCGATGCGTCCCCAGCTTATAACTAAAATTCTTATTAGTCATCCCTAAATGCATCACCCTACACTTCTCACTATTAAATTTCATCCTATTACTATTACTCCAGTTTACAAGGTCATCCAAGTCTCCCTGCAGGATATCCCGATCCTTCTCCGAATTGGCAATACCTCCCAACTTTGTGTCATCCGCAAACTTTATCAGCCCACTTCTACATTCTGTTCCGAGGTCAGTAATAAATAGATTAAATAAAATCGGACCCAAAACCGAACCTTGAGGAACTCCACTGGTAACCTCCCTCCAACCTGACAGTTCACCTTTCAGTATGACCCGCTGCAGTCTCCCCTTTAACCAGTTCTTTATCCACCTCTGGATTTTCATATCGATCCCCATCTTTTCCAATTTAACCAATAATTCCTCATGCGGTACCGTATCAAACGCTTTACTGAAATCGAGGTATATTAGATCCACCGCATTTCCTTTATCTAAAAAATCTGTTACTTTCTCAAAGAAGGAGATCAGGTTGGTTTGGCACGATCTGCCTTTCGTAAAACCATGTTGTAATTTGTCCCAATTGCCATTGACCTCAAGGTCCTTAACTACTTTCTCCTTCAAAATTTTTTCCAAGACCTTGCATATTACAGATGTTAAACTAACAGGCCTGTAGTTACCCGGGTCACTTTTTTTCCCCTTCTTGAAAATAGGAACCACATTAGCTATTCTCCAGTCCAACGGTACCACCAACGAGTTTACAGATTCATTAAAAATTATCGCTAACAGGCTTGCAATTTCTCGCGCCAGTTCCTTTAATATTCTCGGATGAAGATCATCCGGTCCGCCCGATTTAGTCCCGTTAAGCTGTTCGAGTTTGGCTTCTACCTTCTAATTTCTTGCTCTGAATTTTGG